ATTTGCAGGCTGACGGCGGGCGCTAGGTTCCAGCTAGGTCTGGTTCTAAAGGCATTCTGGTGCACCTCCTGGCTTCTCCCCCAGTGTCTCGCAAACCTGGTTGAAAGGAATCTCTCGGTACGAGTCTGCATACCGAAGACCCTGGCGCTATCATGATCGTACATTCCGCTTAAGGCAAGGTGCTCTAAGGTCTGGACCATGTATGCAATGCCGGTATGTCTGTCATTGTACCAGAGCATTTGCTCCTCATACTCTACTCGATTGGAAGCGCGGTATGCTTCTTTGACGTTTTTTATATGCAAAAGTTCCGATATATCTGTAGAGAAATTGTCTGGTGATCCCATTCGGCGGATACTATTCGAGGCGTGACTCAGCATGTGCATTTTTGGGAACTGGAAATGATAGATCGCAGACTCTAGCTTTTCCTTTTCCGCCCTCATCCATCGCCTCGACCAGCCCTCTTCCCTACCCTTCGCTACCGTCGCGGCCCATCTTTTCTCAAAGTTCTTAGCCCTTGCTTTTGTCTCTCTTTGCGCACGAAACACGGACTTGCTCCTGTAGAATGTTGCAAGTCTGCTATCCAGCAGACCGAGTGTGTAGTCAGAGTGGCTGCGCTGTCCGAGGACTAGGAGAAATTTGATAATAGATCGGACACATGTTAGGACCTGTGCCTCCTCGAATTCCATCGACCGGACTCTATCGCTCAATATTGGGCCTATCACAGCTAGTAGGAATCGCATCATAGTCCTAATCTCTTTGCCCTGCCATGAACTGACCTCTTCGTAGCCTCGCTTAAACTGTTGAAAACCTGGGTATGGTGGAACGGACTTAAAACGATCATTGAACTGGCCTAGAATCCCTCGCTGCCGTAGATATCCCATTAACCAATCCATCATCGTCTTAGGAATTCCTAGATGCAAGAGGTGAAGAGCGTCGGGTTGCCAGAGGGTGTATACATTGCATAAGGGATACCCCCAAAAAGGATTTTCCTCTACCTGCAGACCAATGGATGCCAAAGACTTTACATCTTCCGGGGTTCCTCGGTCTAGCGCTTGCTGATAGGACTTTGGATTACGGTCTCTAAACCCCCTAACTCCGGCACTCGGCTCGTGCCCCATCTCGGTCCGCGGGATCTCGCAGATTGGGCAAAGCCCATTGACTATTCTTGCCAGGATGACGTGTTCCGGGTAGTCCGCAATCCAGGCTGCTAGAACCGGGTAGTATCGACGGACCTGGCCATCGGCGCAGTCCCATTCATAACCTGGGCCCGCTATATCGAGGTCTGCTATCGGCTTCAGAATCTGCGCGATCGCTTCGTGCCAAGACCTGTGAATCTCACCGCCCTTCGGGTTCTTCGGAGGAATCGGCAAGAGAGCAATCAGTACCCAGGCGCTTTTAGAGCTTTGCCGTCGTACGTCTTTCCTAATGTTCCCTATCGACATATAGACCGGCCAAGCAGCCTTGTCTCCGGAGAAGTTTGTAAGGTGGGTTTTGTCGGAAGCAAAAAGGAGAGGGACTACTGTTCCGCCCCGGGGGACCAAGTCTTGAGTGTGCCACCACCAGTCCGCGGTATGGATCTCGTTATATACTCTCCGGCCGGTACTATCGAAGAGGCGCTCGGGACCAAAGACGAGATGGTCTGTGAAAGGTAAATGGCCAAGAAGCAGCCGGATGCAGAGCAGGATGTTGCGTGAGTACAATATCCCGGACTCACATGGGAATGCAGACCAGCTTCGGGGCCCAAAGCCGTGTTCTACGCGCTCAAACAAAGACCACAGCTCATCTGCTGTCTGGAAGGATGTGCATTTGTCATAATCCAATCCACGTTGTAAATACTCATCGATCGATCTTTTGGTTAGGCCTGACCGCAGCATCCACCACCCGAGCTCAAAGTCTTTAGCACTGCGAAATGGGTGCCAAGGGTTCCAGTTCGCGTCTTGGTATCTACGATAAATTCGACTTGGGGTTCCATAGGACCTTCCGGCTTCACGCGGGTGGTACTGCGTTTTTCCAGAATCAGGCAAACAAGTTAGGTCTGGGTCCTCCGGTTCTGGGCTTCTCGGTTCCTGGACCCCATCTGAGTCTGCGGGTGGCTGCCATCCAGCAACTATTCTCTCAACGATAATATTAGTCTGAGCCAAAGGACTTCCAGGTCTAGAACAAACCGTCCACCCAAGGATCATCATCCCCAGGCTGCCCCTCCCTTTCACTTGGCGGACCACTGAGGTACGGCCTCTGCTGTTTCTGTTTTGTCTGCGTTTGCCTTTTCGCACACTGGTTACGGTGGATGGATAGGCCCTTCCGTGTCTTGAAGGGCCTTCCGCAGTCCGGGCAGGCAGGATTCGACGTCATCGCGTGGTAGTATAGTGTGGTGGCCGTGATGGGATCGATGTGGTGGGAGCACAATCAGTATTTGTATAGTGGTTGTACAAGTAGTATATTTGACGTTCAGGACAGGGGCTATTTTGGTGGTTAACGGTTGCTGACTTGTAACAAAACCTCTCTCCCGGTTCTTTGTACAGTATGCATGCGGTGTACTTCAGGGATGTGCCAAGGTGGAACGATACTGTAAAAACTCGAATAAACAGACCGTGTGCTAGAACGTTGGAGTTGCCTCTCCTAGTAAGGTCTGACTTTTTTTTCTTTTGTATTTGTCTCGGAGGCTGGTTTTTTGGCCTGTTTTCCGCCCCTATTCCAGAGAAGGAAATTTTGGACTACCTGACACAGTCTGTTTATTCGAGTTTTTACGGTACCAGGTCCTCGGTAGTACACCCAACACGGATCTCACCGACACGGATCTTGCTGTACAGATCCTGCGGCAGCCTACCCTGTTAGTACTGTACAGTGTACTTGAAAACTAGTACTGGTTCACCCGTACTGAAGCTTGTTCACCCGTACTGAACTTGCTATTCGTCTTGAAAACAAGTGCTTGTCTTGAAAACAGATGATTGTTCAAGTACGCGAAGCACACAGTTCCTTGGAGGGTGTGAAGGCTTGAAAGTTAGATGTCACGAACTCTGGATCTTGAAAGAGTTCCAGGGAGGCATATATAGAGACCGGTTTTCGCCCCAAGCCAAAAGATCATACAGCAGCAGAAGTCTCCCATACACAACAGCTTATATCAGAATGCTATTCAACGCCCTACTACTCTAACCTTTCACTTCAGGTCTGCACCCTACCCGCTGCCCTACTTTCCGAGTCATTCACAGTTACTCAGTCGAATCCTTCTCTCAGGCCTTATCCTAGACCGCAAACACCAGAACTGGTACCAGGTATATATAGGTAGTACGCAGTCTTCCAAATAGGCATGCTAACGCAATCTCCCAAATAGGCACCGTAACTACAAACTTCCTGACCCCAAGTATCGATCCTTACCATCTTCTGACTATCAAACATTCTCAATACAGAGTAACAATTGATTCCGCAGACCAGACAACCCTGCGCACCAAGACCCCCCAGCCATACTAGATATACAACTAGGTAAGAAAAGTTCTTACTATTTGCCTTCAGCACGGTTACTAATTTTACGTTCCGGGAGAGGACAGACATTTTGAGAATGCCGAAGGCTACCGCAAATGAAATTTGTCTAAAGCTTGGATTCTCCAGTGTCAGCGACCAGGTCTATAAAGATTGGGTTTCGAGATTCAAGCGGGTCTGGCTTCGTCAGCAGCATCCGGAACTCATCCCCGGACCACAGGCTCTTCTCGCCGAGGATAAGAATTTGGAGTGGGAGTTTGGGCTCCGGCAATTGTATTCGGACTTCCCAACTCATTGGGCTGAGGCAAACTTTGCGAATCGAGCGGAGCGCCGGGAGTGCGCTTGTCAATTCATGATTAAGCAGACAAAGAAGGTCCGCTCCGATATGGCACAGGAGGCAAAGAAGACCGCTGCCAAACGCCCTACTGCATCCTCAACCTCTGCGACTGCCACGGCCTCCTCAGCGACTGCCACTGCTTCTGCGACTCCCACGACTGCCACTGCCCCTGCGACTACCACTGCCCCCGCGACTGCCACTGCCCTTGCGACTACCACTGCCCCTGCGACTACCACTGCCCCTGCGACAACCACTGCCCCTGCGACAACCACTGCCCCTACGACAACTACTACCCCTGCGACAACCACTGCCCCCGCGACTACCACAACCCCCTTGGCTGCCAGGAAGCGGGCCAGGGTTGTCGATGAGAATGAAGATCCTCAAAGCCCACCCGGGCCGCCTACAAAGCGGCTAAGACAAGTTGAGCTGCCGGAGTTGCAGTTCACGTCTTTCACCGTCACGTTCCGCGGCCCCAAGAGTACTCGAATCCACTCTACAACTTACGCTAGCGTCAGGGAGTTCTCCCGCCTGGTCCGTTGGACTCGCGAAAAAGTTCCGCAACTTGCTGGGAGGTCCATGATGCTCAAGACGAATATTACTGTACGGAACGATGAGTACTTGAACCTCTTTGGCGTGGAACAGGGTGACAAGGTGGAACGGATTATCTCAGACCAAGGGTCCTGGAATGCAGCAGTAATGGCTGCTGAAGGCAACCGCCCGAATCAGGGCTCCTTTGCTGGCCTTTTGGTCGTGGCAATACCCGCGGGGGAAGATTTCAATCACTTCGTTGAGGAAGAGATTGGGCCGGACTATACCAATGAGGATGAGGATGAGCGGGGGCCTGGAAGAGACAATCGCCCTGGCAACTCAGGGCCGAAAGATAGTGGGGAGGGGCCTTCTCAGCCTGCGGATTTGCCCAGGTCGAAGGAGGAGATCGGCGGTGGGAGGGCTACGGAGGCTGGCAAGAAGGATAAGGGCAAGGGTGCGGCCTCTGGCCAGAATGATGATGATAATGATGATGACTTGAAGAATTGCCCAAGTGGCCTAAGTAAGTAATTGTCCAATGCATTATTATCAGAAACTTTAAGAATCTACGATCTAATTTGTGTTCCCACAACTAGCGGAGAGACCGCGCTTGCCGATACCGGCTTCCCTGCTTGAAAGCCTCATCCAGAATAAACCAGATATGTCAAGCCACCGACATATTAGGGAAAACCAGGCCTTGGAGGACAACGCGATAGTGGCTGCGGTCGCGGACCCTAGTACCACTAGCGATGGGGCTCTTCTCGGGCTCTGTGGTGACCAGCTCAATAATGATTTTGAGCACCAATGCTTCGAAGAGGCTGTGAGAATGTTGGGAGCAGAATTGCTGGCGCCGGTCGAAGGCGATATTGGGCCCAGAATGCTCAGAATCCCAGGGATCCCTCGTGGACGATTCCTCCCCCATCAGGTCTGGGGCGTCTGGTTTATTGTGGAGCGGATCCTCGCTGACCGTCCCCCCGTGGCCCTAATTGCTGACGATATGGGATTGGGCAAAACTCACTATGCGCTTGCTACACTGCTTTACCTCAAATATATTGTTGATGAGGCTGCAGCAGGCAGAGCTCTACCATGCTTGGGTGGGAAATCGGTGACTGAATTGGAGGTTGTTCCATGGATCTTTGGTGCTGATAGTGAGGTGTACAGGCGACCTTGCATTATCGTTGTCCCTGCCAACCTCGTTCATGCCTGGGAACGTGCCGTGCAGAGTTTGATTCCCCAGACTGGGGTCCAGCTAGTCAACCTCTATTTGAGTCGTCAGCTTAATCACACCGAGCTCAACTACACCTCTGACAATCCCGGGCGCGGTAAAGCCATCCATCTGATTTCCTATAGTTCCTACAGAGCCCGCTATAAAAATCCAGACCGCTTGCAGGGCTGCCAATGGGGGATTGGAATTTTCGACGAATCGCACATGGCGAAATCTCGCACAACTCAGACCTTCGACTCCCTGATGAAAATGGATGTACCCTGCCGGATCCAGCTAACCGGAACCCCGATGCACCATACAGTTGACGATTGGGTTCCCCAGACCGAGTGGCTGTTCTCCCAGGTCACAGATCAGGACGAGCTCAATAGCTACGGTCCGCGCCCGCTCGACTCAGCAATTACGGGGGCGAAGCGTGGAAATATAACGTTAGAGGAGGCATATGGCCTGATCAAGGATATTGCCTGGCCGTGGACTATCCGGCGCTGGGGAGAGACTAAGGACGCAACTGGGCAGCCCCTGGTCCGCATTCCCGAACTTGAGCAGCACGACATCCGCCTGCGATACACCCCCATGGAGGCTAACGCAATCGACCAGTGGATCACGGATGCCAAGGGCAACAGGTGGAATGCTATCCAGACGGTCTTACACGAGTGGCGCCTTGCTTGCCTCACCATGGACCTACCGGACAACGATGTGAGTTCCGAGGACTCGGAGACTGGGGATGGTCTAGTTCTCCATCGTCAATCCTGGAATCGTAATGACTTCCACGGTGGGCCTGCATTCCGATGGCTTTCAGAAGTTTTCGTCCCAAAGTTGTTGGGTCCATCTGTAGGAGGGGTACCAAACAAGGCCGTCATTTTGGCCCCATTGCCAGGCCAAGCATCCTACGTCCATTGGTTCCTCAGGACCTTCCATGCCGGGATTCACCCCATCGTGTATCACGCTAGAGTTGCCTCGAGAGACCGGGATCGGCTACTACAAGAGTTCGCTTCACTCGATAGACCGGCAGCGCTCATCCTCACTCCAGCCCTCGGTGGGACCGGGCTGAACCTAGTTGCGGCAAACCATGTTGTAATCATGCAAAAATTCTGGAACCTCAATGAGCAACGTCAAGCAGTTGCGCGGATTCACCGAATTGGTCAAAGACGGTCCCCAAAAGCGTGGATTCTACATTGTGAGGGAGGGGTAGATGATAGGGCTGAAGAACTTCACCAGAGCCGTGGAAAGTTTGAGGCACGGATCATGCATGGATTGATTGGGCAGAAATTCTCCTATATGGAGTTAATGGATGCCAGGGCAACTAGAATCCGTGAGCTTGAACGGGTACAGTCTACACAAGGTGGTGATGCTGTTCCAGGTGCTTCTGGAACTGAGGGTGGTGATGATAATGGCGGTGATGTTGAATGATGGTGTTCCCAGTCCTTTTGGGACTCAGATCCATGCATGGGCATGATCCCGCTTTGGTCTTTTTAGACTT